GATAACTTTTAAAACTAAATTAGATTAATATAGGTTTATACTTATAGTATATATATATATAAATAAGAAAACTCACTTTTTGTATAGTAATATATTTAGATATGTAAGGTTATAAAAGTAAGTAGATACTACTTATATTACTACTTAAAAACTACGCCTACCCTCCCTCTACCCACGTTAACCTTAGCTACAAAAGTCATCCGAGTCTGAGATAAGTCCAACCTCCATCCACTCGACTTCATCTTCCAATCCTCACGCAGTCCACGCAGTCCACGCAGTCCTAATTGCGCCCACAAAGGCAGAATTTCTCGTAACGACGAACACCCCTGCGCATTTGCACAGTCTCGGCAGATACCCAGAGCTGATCTGGCCAACGAATCGTGGTTCAAATCTAAGCACCTGCATTAGCCCAACCCACGTCAAGTCTCACGTGGACTGCTTCCGTCGGCCCTAATCAGATCTCGACCTGACACAACACCACCACTCTAACGACGTTTGGCACTCCCAGTCAACCTGACATTCAGCCGCCAATCACCAGCTCTGCATCACAGTTCCTTTGCCTTCTCATCCTTGACCACTCCACTAGCTTGGCCCCTCCCGCCCTGGTCCAGGCGCTACGGATACTTCGCGATACACCAGCGGGAGCCTCACGTCCCAGACAACTTACGGGAGCCATCAGCCACCAGGAGCCCCTTGGGTTGCTGCACATCATCCATCTACGGCCACGTTCCGTCTGTGACCGTACGCCACAGCATCAACGCTTTACCATGGGCAAACAGAAGACGGCCAACGTTGGCAAAGCAAAGGGAGGCGCTGGCAACGCTGGAGCCAAGGCAAAGACGACCGCTGCTCCCGCTCCCAACGTCCCTCCCGCTTGGCCCCAATTTAAGCCACCATTACCAGTCACCGATCTTGTGCCCGAGAAATTCCCATCGTGCCCGGACAAGGTCGTTCTTGTCCGCAATTTCTGGCCGAAATCCCTATGCAGCTCCTACGTCACATTCCTGAGGAATCTCCCGCTTGTCACCACCCCTGGCCGACCCAAGAGAGGGGAGGCGGTTAGAGTGAACGACCGTTTCCAAGTACAGGATGCCACTTTCGCTCGACGCCTGTGGGAGGAGACGGGCCTGCGCGAATCGCTTGCCCAAGAAGATGTTCAAGGCTTATGGTGAGTCCACTGCTTTCACCTCCCTCCCCCTGCCCTCTCCCCGCCCTTCTCAGAACCCTGGCCCTGAAGGATGCATCGTACGCGCTTCCGGCTAGATCCGCCAGCTGCAACGAGTCGAAAAATACCCAAAAGGAGTTTTGCGCACACGAAACCCATGCGGAAGAAGAAACCAGCTGCCTCATGAACATCCAGGCGGGATTTCGGCTAACACGAGTAATACATGCTAGGGGCGGTGAGGTCGTCGGTCTGAACCCCAACATTCGCATCTATCGCTACTCCAAGGGCCAGTATTTCGATGCACACTGTAAGTCCCAGCGCCAAGTCGTCAACCTGTCATTAAACAACACGTCTACTGCGGTCGACGAATTTTCTGCATGTCACTGTGCGAAGTCCTACCCGCCTCAAAGCATTTAGGATCCATGATCGAGTTCCTCGAAATCCTTTTGCGAGTGCAACTTGCAGCAAGCCACCAGGATTTGTCATTGTTGGTCAATAGCTCGAGTTGAGAGTCAACAGTAGGGAGACATGCAAGCCTTCGAAGTCCTGGGCGAGCAATCGTGGCATCACCAAGTGTTGATATCCTCCTCCCTACACCGACTCTTCTGAGGTCCCAGGGCCGAGTTACAGTTAGACCAGCCCACTACGCTCGTCTGGTGTTTAGCAGGCTAGAGTTGCCGTGTGCAGACACATCTTGCGAGTAGTTAGTCACGCAAGCTTGGTCCATACGTTTTCTCTCGCCCCTTTGGCAATTTCCTTCATCGACCCATTCCTACGGATACTCGCCATGGAGTGGTTTCCAGTCCATGCATGTCTCAACCTCATCAAGCCCAGAACAAAAGTCTCCAAACAGGTCCCATGACTTGCAGTGTCGCAGACAAGAGACAAAACCAGCCGGGACCTGCGGTGGTTTTACCCACTATTTCTGTTATGTTTGAGGACGAAATTACTTGGCCCCGCAATGGGTGAGGGCAGCGATCTACGATGGTCATTTTTGATATATGATATCTCGCCTCCTCCGCTCAGTCCTCTTTGTTTACCTTCCACTCGTCATCACAAGACTCTCGAGAGCTCGAGCACCGCGAATCCCATCGATTTGTTCCGCAGGCCCAAACCCTGCGGATCGCTCCATACCGATCTACCCAATGGCGTTATCCTTCAGGGTCCCGGGGGAGAATTGAGTCCGGGAGCCAGCAAGTCCGATCCAGTCAACCCATCAGTATCTCGCATCTTCCCATCCGCTCGAGAAATCAAGCAACGAATGTGCGCTGGCGATTGCCTAGCTGCAGCTTCCAAGGATTCCTTCTGCGCTCTTTGACACTTTCCTTCTGTCCCCTTCACCTGTCTTCCGTGCAGGCCTCGTCTTCATCTCGCTCCTGCTCTTAAGATCGATCCAGGCCAGCTGACCAACGGAACCCCCACACTCAGACGACGACTCCAATAACGTCTCGCTCGCCCTCGACCCCTCCGCGGGAGCCGTGCCGTGCAAGACAACCTGGACACTCTTGCTCTACCTAACATCCTCCGCCGAGGGCTGCGTCGGCGGCGAGACCGTCTTCTTCCCCAATGACCGCCGCTCCGCCAAGGAGGAGATCCCGGTCGCGCTCGAAACGGGTATGGCTCTCTTGCACAAACATGGCGATGATTGTATGCTGGTAAGTCCTCTTCCTCTTCCTCTTTCTCTGCTTCTGTACGATTTCCATCGTCGTGCGTTCCCCTCGTCTCGCCTCGAAAGGCTCTGCATCCTCCCCTGATCCCCGGCCCAAAACCGCGCGCTCCTGACCATGCTCTTTTGTACAACTGCGACCGTTGCCACCATGGGCTTTTCGCCAGCGTTCCTTCTGCCGTACCTATTTCTTTTCTTTTTCGTGGCGCGAAACAGGCCAACCACGGCCACACAACTACGGCCTCACCTCTGCTACCTTTTCGCTTTGTCCCCAACCACCCGTCCCGCCTTGCCCGCCCACTCTTGCAGACATTAAACTCCCTTCCTCCCCCCTCCCACTTATTTTTTTCTTGCCCACCTCCCTAGCCGTACAAGGTCCGAGGAACCGCAGACTGACACATGTTCCACTTATCAACAGCACGAGGGGCGGGAAGTCACCGCGGGCGAAAAGTGGGTGTTGAGGACCGATCTCTGCGTCAGGAAGTGAACACGCCGCAGCCCTCACGGCCACACCCACACTCACACATACACAAACATGAACGCAAACGAAAACAACCCAGTGCCGGGCCACACCCCTCCTTTTCCCGCTCGGACGTGGAGCCAAGAGGGACGAGATCGCGCGGGCGTAGCGGATGGTGCATCCACTGCGTTGGTATTTCGTCCCCGGGAGAGAGAAAGGGTACTTTGCTCCAAAAGGCAAGCCACGCGCGCAGGATGACAGATCAATGCCTACGAGATCATTACATACTTCCATTTTGTACCTGTCCAGAAAACCACCAATCCACCAACCGCCGCGGGATCGTGCCATGTGCAGCCGCACCCCTCCCCCCCGCCCTTCTACAATCTACTCCTTCTCGTCCGCTTGTTCCTTTCCCCTTTTATTTGTTCAAATATTCTGCTGCTGCTGCTGCTGCCGCTGCTGAATCGTATGGAGAAAAGAACGGGACCTGTTGTCTTGTTCGACATCGGGAAGGCGTCAAGTGATCTCTGGATATGCATCCCGTGCCCGATTACGTTGCCGTTGATCGACGTGTTCGACGTGTTCGAAAGGGACCGAGCGGGATTTTTCTCTCCTGTTCCCTGCGGTCCTTGTTTTCGTTTCGGGAACGACAAGAGGTGTGGTGTGTGTGTGTGTGTGTGTGTGTGTGGCAGTCGTGCCGGGGATGAGGAGCAAGAGGGCTTATTTGTGCTCGTTCGCAACTGCTCACGAACAAAGTCCCAGCCGCCAAATCATCGAGACAGATATTGCCGGGTCAGGTAGCAATTTTCAAGGGGTCCTAAAACTCCCCCTCCCCTCTTCCCGAACAAAATGCACACTACCCATCATTGTGTGTCACTCGCAACTCGCCTATGTCGCCATGTGTGCCATGTAGACATCTTCCCAAGCGATGCGGCTGACTTTGAGGAGGGGGGGGGAAAGCCTTCCAGCTTGACTAGTTTTCTGATAGGAAGAAGATTTTTCTGCCGTTGCCGTTGCTGTCCTTACTGCCCGCTGCTGATCTACGGGTTGTTCCTTTTGCATGGTGCTGCGCGAACTTTTGCAGTGGATGAACGCAGCAGCATGCACTCCTTTTCTCGTGCCTGCGTCCTGCGTCCTGCGGCCCTCTTGAGGGGTGTTTCTCGTCTAAGGTAGTCTGCAGTCTGCACATGTGTCTGTCATTCGTGTACACTTGTGTGAAAGAAAATGTGTATATTTTGCATGTAGAAGCCTCAGCCGGCTGCGTCCGGGCTGCCTCCCCGAGTGCCCCGAATAGAAAACGGTCCGGAGAGCAGGCCTACGCTGCGCTGCCACATCCTCTTGGCCATGCCGTCTATTCCTTCTCGCAGCAACACGACGTGGACCCTTCGGTTCGGAGACGTCCTTGGGCACGTCCCAAGGTCACAGCGGCATCAGCAACAGGCGACGTCTGCGTCATGAAGTGAAATCTATTATGCCATGTCCATGTGTCTCGTAAATGGAAAGTGACTGATGCCTGACGAATTGTGTGCGCACTCGCGCTTCCGGCCATCAGGGCCCAACCAAACACCCAAGTCTACTAGCCTTCTTCCCTTTCTCAAGCTCCGAAATCGCTGCTCTATCCATGTCCATGATGAACAGCGAGAGACCACGGGAATGACCTGTCGAACGCCGTGTCGCAGCAGAAAAAGCTCCCGTTATCACGCCCGCGTTCAGCCTCTGGCGCCGCTCATCAGTGCGGCCATACGATCCATGGGGTTGTCTTCATCCTCGACATGTACTTCTTCCCCACTGGTGGCGTTTTCGGCCTTGGATGACACTGAGACCTCGTCGCTGTTCCTGTCCGTGGGGCTGTTGTCAAACAACCTGAGCATCTCACCCCGGTGGACCTCTCTTCCGTCCTCAATTTGCGTCGCTGGCTCCGCCTCAACGTTCCCGTGGGGAGTGTGGTAGGTCTTCTTCGTAATCGGTGGTGCTTCTGGGTTGATGGTGGGTGTGGTCTTGACTTTGCCCGTGGCAATACGGCCCATGATCCAATGGAAGATCCAGGGGAAGCTGATCAGGGGCATCGACTGACGCTTGTGCTCCTCGTCTTCGTACTCCCCTGCCAGTGCTGCATTGACCTCGTCCTGGGTCACTTTATACATGGCCGCCACGAATGGGCCGATGTTGTCGAACACCCGACTACCGCCAGCCTCCTGATAGCAAATTTCGCGGAAACGATGCTTCAGTAGTGAGGATTCTCTGCCTATCTCTTCCTGCTGCTTGTAGTCACTGCCGACGCGCGGCTTGGACAAGGCGAACCCGGTCCAAATCTCGAACTCGGTATCAATGTCGCGCTGACCCATGAGACGCCGCATTGCCATATCATACTGGACCTTGACCGCTCGCGCCTTGGAGAGCAAGTCTTCAGTAAGATGGAAGCGGTTCAGAACTCTGTTGTCGAATCTCTTCTCGTAGAGGGGGTTGAAACCCACGTCTTGGATCATGTCGTACAATTTACCGAGAGCGGTCGATGAGTGGTAGGTTTGGCCTCTGCTGCCCAGGAAATGAGGGCGTTCCTTTGGATTCAGTGCGGGAGGGAGCTTTGCAGGGTCACCAGTCTTGACGTAGTCGACAGCCTTGGAGTGTAGAGCTGCGAGCTGAAGACCTATATTGTGTTAGTACTCCTACAATCCTTTAGGTCCGTTTCATCCCAGATAAACTCACATTTCTGATCCTTGACGCCAAGCAAAGACTTGTCAGCGTGGGCCAAGTGTGCAGTAGCAATCAAGGCGAGGCTGTCGTTCTGCATGTAACGAACAAAGAATGTTCTGAGATCCTTGACTTGAACATCTCGACGAAGTACCGCCGGTGTAGGCTGGGTATAGTTCATCGGCGGTTGGTGCCAATCTTTTGGAATGAGGTCTTGGTTCCACATCACAAAGAAGTCATCGCCATCCAGATCACCTCCTGACATCATGCTCGGAACATCGCGGTCGCCGTTTCTTGGGAAAGCCACGACATTTCTCAGGTGGTGCAGCTGGGGGACGTCAACTGCCTCCACCACCCTAAGATCGCCTGGATGAAGTGATGGGTTGCGTCCAACGATACAAAGCCCCGTGACACATGTGAACTTTCCACTGCCGCTAGGGCTTTCGACCTGCAAGAAAACCTGAGGTAGATCCTCGATGTTGTTGGTCTTCTTCCCTTCGGTGGCGGTCGAGTAACCTCGCAGAGTACCTGTCTCATCCAAGCAGCCTAGAAGGAAAGCACTCTCCTCCACAATGACACGGGCCTTTTCCTTGAGCAGCTTCATGGACCAGATTCTCCAAAGATCCAGGATTGTCAGCACAAATGGCTCCTGAATCTCTGGGTCCATGAAGCCCCAGCCAACGAGATCTTTGATCGTTAATGATGTCAAGTTCTCGTCGATGTACTGACCCAAGAGGCTAGCGGCCGCAACTCGATCGTTCATTGCTTTCTGGTAGTTCTTGATCTGCCGTTCCGCAAGCTTCAGGATGGTCTCTTCTCGAACACCGAGGGATGTCAAAACAGTGATTGTCTGGCGATTCAAGGTCGCAATCGAATGCTGTGCGTACTTGATAATCTCAAGGCCATTGAATCTTGCCTTGAACTTCTCTTGAGATGGCCGAATGTGAACCTCCTGCCTTTTGGCATCGGGCCAGACTGCCAGCATGCCTTTGCAACCGCCCATTCGGAATTGAAATGCGGAAGGGACGCTGATGCAGGCGTCATCGCTGCTCATCTCTTGGACGACGATATGTGCCAGCAGCTGCGAAATTTTGCCGACACCGTCGCTGAAACAGAAGCCGTTGCGTTCGATGTCTTCAATGGGAACAATATTGGCAACGGTGGTCCCTGGGATCTCGCGCGTGGTAGAGAAGCACTGCCCGATCCGTGCAGCGTATTTCGCAACATTCTTGATGTGACCGAAGTCACCCATCCAGTCCCGAATATAATCGCAGGATCTATGGTCCGTTGGGCAAAAGAAATAGACCGCGCATTCTCTAATTTGAGAATTTCCGAATGCCAAAAATTCGTAGTGTCGACTTCCAATGGTGATGCCCTTGGCCAAAGTACGGTAGACCCTGCTGAAAAGCTCTTCGCCCGAGTCGCTGTAGATCTTGCCGTAGTAAAGTTCGTCAGTGAACTGTACTCGGAGGAATCGGTCTTGATCTTCGCTGAACTTTCGGAGAACTCTGTTGGAAGACTCGACGCCAGGAGAGCTGTAGTATACTGTTGTGGGAGTCACGACAACCTTCCGGATTGTGGTGCAGTAGCGAGGCATCAAGGGGTTGGGGAAGTGAAGATTCGCCTCCTCATCCTCAAAGATTTCGTTCAAATCCCATACTCTCTTCTCTCGATCTGCAAAATATTCGAGAGTCCATTTCGCACGGTCCTTGTTGACAGCTGCTAATCGCTCCAGGAACTCTCGGGTGATGGCGTATTCACAGATGATGCCTCGAGAAATGCAAACCTCCAACTGATAGTGGACTTGGAAGTCCAAGGCTGGCGGTGACTCCAATGAGGATGCAAGAGACTGCAGAGACAGACCGGTGAAGGTGCCTTCTTCCTTCCCCTGGGTCTTTGAAGCTCTGTGTAGGGTGGCGAGCAGAGCCGGCCTATGCGGAGTGAACTTGAAGTCGCTCAAAGTTGCCTCGATGTTGTATGCATGAAGAGCCTCCAGGGCCTCGTCCAAGGAGTTATCTTCATCGCCGACAATGAATCTCAAAGTTGTCCATCGACCAATGTTGATGTAGCCCGGGTCGTCAAAGTCTGTCTGCAAGGTGACAGGGAAGTTCGAAGGCAGGCGATTGTCTTTCAAAATGATCGTCCGACGCTCCCACATATCCAACGTGCCCCAAAACAGCCTTCCTTCTGCCATTGCGGCAAGACTCTTGTCGTCTCTTTTTGTTCTGAAAATAGGAGGAAGCTCGAGAGGAATGACCAAGGCAGTAGCACCCTCTTCAGTCTTGGTCCGAAAGAGTTTTGTTAAGCGAGCAAAGGCGATGTTGCAGCGGTAGCGATGGAAATTGTCGTCCTCCACGTCTTCAGCACCAACTCCACGGACGACTGCTTCGACATTCTGATGAGCTCTCTTCGGAATGTCAAACGTAACGGTGAGCTGCTTTCTTCCAAGATCCACATCAATTTTGACATTGTCTTTGACAGACTTGTGGACCATCATGTCAGTTTCCTGGAGAAGCGAACCAAAGTCCATCTGCTGCACTTTCAAGACCGTTCTCGTTTTCAGTTGAACCTTTGGGTTGGCAGGACTCGGTGTCAGGTCGTCGAACTTGAGCTTCGGCACGAAAAGAGCGAGAGTGACTCGCGCCCTTTGTCCAGCACCGAACTTAATGTTGTAGTTGATGGAAGACCAGAAATTCGTTTCGGGCGGCGGCTCGAAGCGAACCTTTGCGAAGCCATTGCGATAGCCGTCCTTGTTCTCGCCGATCTCTAGCATGGTGATGTTGCCATGTCGTGAGAATGATTTGTGCAGGTCCGCCAGCGTGGCAGCGGAAGGCAGTCTGTGAATCTTGAGCGTGAGCTCTGGCCAGGTCCTCCAGGGATTGGTATTTATGTCGAGGCGTTGACTGCTTGAGATGGTAGGCTCGGATTTCGTATCGATTCGACGAGTACCTATGTAGTTTGTCAGCAAATTGAAGCAAAGCAATCGGGTAGTAGCAAGGGACACGTCGAGATGATGAAATTGGTAAGTTCTTCCCCATGAGGCAGGAAGTCCGGGAAAGGGAAGTGTCAGTGACGACTGAGAAGAGTGCAAAGATATTTTGCGCAGAAGAAGTCTTGCAGCTCGGGGTACCGGATGCGGAAGGTCCTATTCACGACAACTTCGACTGAGGAGACCAAGATAGAGATGTTTGTACGCACCTGGACGAAACTTGTTGGGCGTGGTCGGTCTCGTTGACGAAAGCGTCCTCAAAACTGTACCAAAGCTTGGCTTCTCGCGCTGCTCTCCTTCCTCTTGGCCCTCCTGCGTAATCCCTAGGGACACGTCGGACCCCGGAGACCCCGGAGCAGAGTTTGGTCGCGACATGATATCTGCAATGTCAGAACTCATGATATTGTGAGAGAATCTAGGTCGGGAGAGACATTGATGGTGGTGGAGCTGTCTGGGTTTGATGCAGAGATATGGGTTAGGTAGAAGGTAAGAGGCAGAGAAGAAGTTTAGGCAGAGGTGAGGCGGAGAGAGGCCTGGCCTGGAAGGTGTGTCGGGAGTTGCGTTGTTTCCTTCTTCAGGAAGGCAGGTAGACAATTAATCACTTGAGGGCGTTGCCTTCTTGATTTTCTTTTTTGAGGTGAAGTCGAGAAGATTCTTTTACCTCAACTGCAACTACCCGCCTGCCACATAGAGCTGCTTGCTGGGTCGACGCGAAAAGTCAGGAACAACGCAATGTCTGCAGGCTCCCGAACCGGAATACACACCTGTATTAATCCCATCGTCAATCTTCACACCAGCATACACTCTCTCTGTATATGCCAGCTCGAGAATGGAGATCATCACTTCTGACGCGTCACGAACGAGATACTACAACCAAGGCTGGTACTGTCCTGGATTTTGATGATTTTATCCCCTCTCTATGGAAATCGTTCAAACTTTTCAGTATTTAGCATCCAACCAGCTCAAACGGAGTTGCTAAGTTTGTCAGGTGCCTCGAACTCGCTATTTATTTCGATGGAAGCTGACTATTCCAAATCTTGCAGCCAACGGCGCAAGTCACTCCATCTTTTTTTTACCAAACCAACTGAAGACAATGCGATGCAAACGCGTCATCGGCCATACTACAAAAGCCCATCCCAAGGAGCCACCATCACAACATCAGATCGTCTTGGAGCCCTCGGGAATGTCCATGATCTTACCAGGGTTCAAAATCCATTTCGGGTCAAGCGCCTTCTTGATGGATTTCATCACGTCGAGCGTGTCAGGACCAACCTCAAGAAGAAGCGAATCCTTCTTACCCCAACCAATGGAGTGCTCGCCGGTGCATGTTCCCTCCATTTCGATCGCGCGCTTGACCATATTCTTGACACACTTCTCAACCTTTTCTCTCTCCTCGGGGATCGTGCGGTTATAGATGATGCTTTCGTGGAAGTTTCCGTCGCCGATATGACCAAGGATACTAGCGAACAATCCCATGTCGTCCATCTCCTTTTTGCTAACCTCGATCAAATCGGCCAACCGACTGAAGGGCACTGCGACGTCCGTACTCCCTGCAAAATGTTAGTCTGCGCCGCATCGACAAATGGAAACACGCTGAAAACCACTCACAAACTTCCTCTCCGTCTTTACGAAGCGCCAGCATTGACCAGAGCGATTCTTTCCTAGCCGACCAGAGAAGCTTCTGCTCAAGTGCATCCTTTGCGAACTCGAAGTTTCCGCCCTTGTGGTTCTTGGTGATATCCTGCACCAGGCCGATATTTTCCTTTACACCAGCCTTGGTACCAGAGAACTTGAAGAACAGAGTCGGAAGCTCCTTCCATACCCGAGGAGCTGTAGCACCTCCCAGGTTGACGACCTTCATCTGGACTTCGTCCATGATCTCCATGGCAGCGACAGGAATGCCATTACGCATTACCTCGGCCGCAGCAGCCGCTGCATCTCGAATGCTTGGGAATGTTACAACTGCCACAGAGAAATCCTCCGGTACGACTGTGAGCTTGAGAGTGGCTGAAGTTGCATCAGTTGTCTGTTGTCGTCGAGGGGGCTTCTAAACACTGACCTTCGGTAACGATACCAAGCGTTCCTTCAGACCCAACGATGAGCCCATTGAGATTGTAGCCGGCGGATGATTTTCTTGGCCGTCTTCGAGTCTTGACCACGGTGCCGTCGGACAAAACGACGGTCAGGTTGATGACCCAATCCTTCATGGTTCCGTATCTAACCGCATTTGTTCCCGAGCAATTGGTACCGATCATTCCTCCAATCTTCGCACTTGGACCTGAAGTTTTCGTCAGCAGTTATAACGAATCGCATACATCGGCACAATCCTTACCCGGATCAATGGGGAAGAAGAGACCACTCTCCATTTTCGCCAACTTCTCATTCAAATCCTGCCATCCAATACTTGGCTGGACAACAATATCCATGTCTTCCTTATTGAAAGAGAGAATTCTATCCATGAAGGCAAAGTCGACGCTGATTCCGCCATACGGAGCTGAGAAGTTGCCTTCCAAACTGGAACCCCCAGAATAAGGGATGATAGGGACGTTGTACTTGAAACACACGCGGGCAATCGTCGAGACCTGTTCCGTTGATCGCGGGTACGCAACTGCCACAGGAAGACCATCGGGGTTGGTCGTCGACCATTCAGAGTAGCCGTGAGCATGCAAGTCCTCAGGATCCGTCGAAATAATGTCATCGCCTCCCAATTCTTGGCGAATTTCCCTTAGAGCCTGGCACATTGTCAGGTTGATGGAATGCGTATGGATACAGAGAACCTACCTGCTCCATTTCGGCCATACTCGCATACTTGATAGGTCCGATACCGCCAAGCAGCGGGCCATCTGCGAGGGGGAGAAAGTTGGACGACAAGTGGCTCTCTTTTCTTGAACTGGCAAGACCCCATCCAGCGGCGCCGGCAGCCAAAGCCACACCCCAAACAGATTTTCCATTCCAGACAGCATGCGAATTCGCGCTTGAGCTTTCGGAGTTGCCACCTTGAGTGCTCTTCCGGGCGGTCGTCACGGAGAACCTCCGGCCGGCTCGGAAGGTGGATCCCACCAGTTGGCCCCTCAAGCCGTGGCTAAGGAGGGGCCTCGCAGAGTAATTTGCCGACATGGGCTGCAAGGAGATGATTCCGGATTGTCAAGATTGTGAGTCGCTATTGGTCCAATGAAGTGGCCAGGGTTCGATGCTGTCAGAAACGACAGGGCTTGACCACGGTGTGGGTTGCGTCGGCGAATGGCTTGTGTCGGCGTTGGATTTTCCTCTGTTTTTCTGCTCTACTTCAATGAACCGGGAGTTGAACGATCGAATTCAAGGACAGCGACTCTCGATTTGTTCTGCAAGGAATAGATATAAATTCTTCAAGCCACTGTCGGGAAAAGGAAGGCATACAGTCTCAAGAGAGTCGATTGATGCTGACGAGATCAGAGGGTCGGCGCGAAACGAATCCGTGACAAAGACGTCCGAGATCGTGAACACACCTGAGTGGGAAAGGGCACACTTATATCCCAAGAAGAGGACAGTCAACCACTGCAAGATTCAAATCTCGAGCTATGTCGCAATCATCCACAAAGGAAGCTAAGCGGCTAAGCGTTGGGGCAAGTGGATAAGGTGGATGCTCATGGGGCCGAACATCTTTAATAACGATGTTTTGGGTGTTTCTTCGTGGGAGGAATCCAAAGCGTGACCCAACCGCAAGTATCTGGGCGTACTACTTCCCACATTAGGAACGAGGTGCATCCAAGCCAGAGGCTATGGGTGGACAGACGGTCTCCTGGCATCCAATCAGATCACTGGAGCATAGCGATGTTGGCCAAACCAGTCAAGAAACCAAAAAGCAGGAGGGCTACGATGACGAGAAGCTAAGCCGACGAACAGCCAAGGTCGTAGCTCTGAGTCGTCAGCGGGTGGGATGCCGGGCTACCTCACGATGGTACTTCGCAGTACCTCGGCGACTAAGACCAGATCAGCTAAGTTCTCCAGGTGGAGCACTGGAGCTGTCTTGCTGCTGGAGACACAGCAACAGAGACGACATCGGTGTTGAATCTGGGGCACAACCGATTTCAAGCGGGGAAGAGGCCGAAGCTGAAACAAGAGACCGTCGACTCTTTCGGTGATGGGAACATTTGCCCGGGCTTCGGAACGGTGACGGCGATGGGTGACCCAGCTCAACTTGGACGCTTGGCTGCCTTGTATTACCAACCACCACCCTCGTCCTAATCACTTGCGGCCACACCAACCCAGCATGTCGGGTAGCAGAAGCAGGGGCATCGGAGTTGACGCGGAAAAGAGACGCTGGCCATCAGATTGAACGGCAAAAAGGGCATGAGCACCTGCCGAGACGGGAGGTTTTCACGTCATCACAAGAGACCGACACCAGGTTGTGATGCAAGTGTGACCCCCGTTTCGTGGGGTGGCTTGGGAAAGGTGGATGGGGGGCAGCGACAACCTTCTGGAGTTGTCAATATGAAGTCTGATTACCAACTACATCCCACCGTTTTGTTTGGGCTACAAAGCAACATAATCAAACCGGACGACCTGTTGTGCAATTGGCCGCCGAGCGAAAAATTGGAGGGCTGCGGCTAACAGTTCCAAGGCTTGCAAGAGCATTGACCGACACCCGTCTTGTACGACAGTGAGACGGACGAGGAGCCTGAAGGTCTAGTGCTCAAACTAGAAGCGTGTCCCCCACGTTCAGCCGGCGAAGCGACGAGGGTGGTAAAATTTCTAGCTATCCCCATGACCACGGAGTTCAACCTTGCAGGGCAACAGGGTCAAAAAAGAGCCTTGAATTCTGACGAACCCCCGCGCATCGGCCCTGTCGGTGTAGAGTCCGCGGTGGAGCCTGCTTGAGGGGTAAAAGGACTGCGGTGGACGCCGAAGACGCAGGCCGTTAACCTCCGGTGCTTCTAGAGAGCAGTCAGTGCCGCATGCCGGCTGGGAGCTGACGGCCCTTTCATTCTCTGGTGGGTGTCACTGCATGTTCCTGCGCACCGCTGCGAAGTCGCACTTCCATGGTGGATCACAGGACGAAGGCAGACACTAGGCCATGCTTGCGAGGCTCTTTCGTGGACATTGATAGAGGAAGCAACTTACTCCCAGCTGTCCCACCATGGATGCAGCCGGGAATCCGCTTCCGATATTTGGGCCGGCACGGAGGTTTACCGAGGCGAAGACAGCCACAGCGCTGTTTGGACAGGATGCCTCTGAGCAGTTGAAAACTGCACTGGCCGTACAGGACTCTCATCCCCTGCAAGTTGAACCGCTCACAGCCTTTGACTTGCTTACCACCTGTGTCAACATTCGTCAGGGATGTCTGCGAGGCTTATGTCATCTTAGCTGTTCGTCTTGGTTGCAAAGTCAACTAGAGA